AGGAGTTAGGGGTTTAGGGTTTATAGGTTTAGGGTTTAGGAAACCAACTTGCTTTGGTGGGACGCTGCTTTGACATGCCGCAGGGGTCTTGCACGAAACACCGTGACTTCTGGCAAGCCAAAACCCTAACCGGTATATCCTGGCGTACTTCTGATCAGGGGATCAGGAGATTTGGGTCTTGAAAGCTTTCGGGCTCTGGAATTGAGCCGTTTAGGACTTTAAACCCTAAAGCCCTAAACCCTAAGCCCTAAACCCTTAGCCCTAAACCCTAAACTCTAAACCCTAAACCCCTAAACCCTTAGCCCTAAACTCTAAACCCAACTGCCTCAACCCTTAGGCATGCTCCCCGGCCTCCCAAGAACCTCAGGCACTCCAAGGTTTGAAGGCCCCAGGGCTTGTCGGGCTTAAAGAGCCTCAGGGTCTTGGGGTTTAGGGTGTAGGGTTTAGGGTTTTTGGGTTTAGGGTTTTAGGGTTTAGGGTTTAGGGTTTTAGGGTTTAAGGTTTCGGGGTTTGCATATGAGGTTGGTTTGGGGTTTATAGGGCTTAGGGCTTATAGGGTTTAGGGCTTATAGGGTTTATAGGGTTTGTGGGGTTATAGGGCTCATAGGGTTTAGGGTTTAGGGTCTAGGGGAAAGCGGAGCTCAAAAGTAGAAGTAGCGATGAGGAAGAGCCCAGATCACTGCAGCAAGCATATACTAAGCACGCTGGGGCGTTGCCTATTCTTGGCTGGCTCGGCGTCAGACGTTCTTTTGCTATTGTATAGGCCTCAATCGGGGTCCATCATCTCGGAGGTGACAAAACACTGGTTTTGAAACCCAGACAATGTATATAAGGTGTCGCATTTGCGGTTGTTTTTCGCGCCCCGGGACATAAGCCCGATGCGTTGTAGCCTAATCCCTAAACCCTAAACCCTAAACCCCCTAAACCCTACTTCAGAGCTTTCAGACAGCTGATTGAGGGCTTCCGGCTCGGGATTCAGGGGACTGAAGGGTTTGGGATTTAATAGAAAAAATGTAGGCCCCGTAGAGGAAGCCCGTTCTTAACATTCAATGATTACAGGCCCCTAGTCTATTCTGAAGACTTAAGCTTTGGGGATTAGGATTTGGGCTTTGGGTTTTAAGTCACTGGGTTAGCTGTTACCCATAGGCTCCATAGTAGTTCCTGTTTTGTGGTTTGTATTTAGGATCCTACAAGGTACTCCCAGAAAGGAATTTACTATGGAGCCTATGGGTAGCTATAACCCATGACAAAGCCCTAAACCCTAAACCCTAAGCCCTAAACACTAAACCCGAAGCCTTAAACCCGAAGCCCTAAACCCCTAAAGCCTGCCAGCAGTAGCCTGGGGCCCTCGCTTCAAGGGTGCAGTCGCCAGGGCCATGACAAGGATCTGCAAGCAGAAGCCCATCTGAAACCTCGTCCGAGAGTTGAGGCTTTAAGGTTTAGGGTGTAGGGTTTGGAATTTGGGGTTTAAGGTTTAGGGTTTTGAATTTAAGGTTTAGTTTAAGATTTAAGGTTTAGGGTTTAGGGTGTAGGGTTTGGAATTTGGGGTTTAGGGCTTAAGGTTGAGGGTTTAGGGTTTTGAATTTAAGGTTTCGGGTTCAGGGATCTGAAAGCTCGTCCGAGGGCATTGGGCCGAGGTGGTGATTGAGATTTGTCAGGGACTTAGGTCTCGAGGTCTACAGTAGTGTAGGGGCCTTCACAATTAGAATAGTATAGTTATAGGTATAATAAGGAACCCCAAGGAATAGTATCGGCAATTATTTAGGCTTCTATATTCGGGTGTGTTCATGTTGGTTGGGATGGAATCGCTCTTGAGGGCTGAATGCTTTTCAGAGTAAACCTAAGAGATGCTGGGCTTATGCTACCTTTTTTCCATACATTCAGCGCACCCCAGCCTTCAGGCGCATCGCATTTTCCAGGAACTAGGGTTTAGGGTTTGTGGCTCAACAGCTTTCTGACCTAAACCCCGCACCCCAAGTCTTGGAAATAACCGCATGATCAAAAGCCCTCCAAGCGCGAGGATCCTGAACCAGGATCCCATTATCGTAAGGACCCCTAAACCCAGAAAGTAAGGTCCTTAAACCCTGAAACCCTAAACCCTACACCCTAAACCAGAAAGTAAGGTCCTTAAGCCCTAAACCCTAAACCCTTATGATCTACACCCTAATCCCTAACCCCTAAACCCTAAACCCTGAATACCTACCGAAGCCACAAACAGGGCTTGGAAGGGCGAGGAGTTTCCGCCTGCTTCCTTCATTGGAGTCTGCAGAATCAGCTCTAAGGGTTCTGTTTACAAGGTTTTCGGGTTCAGGGTTTGGGGATTAGGGCTTAGGGTGTAGGGATTAGGGTTTAGAGTTTAGGGATCAGAGTTTAGGGATTAGGGCTTAGGGTTTGAGGTTTAGTGAGTTTGGTGTTGGGTGAAGCGCCCGCCCAGGGCCTGCGGGTTTGGGGCTGGGGGAAGTGGATTGCTGCAGCTGAGCCACTGAACTCCTGGGCTTCAAGAGACGTGAGAATCAGAGCTTGGTGCCCCCAAAAAGCATGTTTAGGGCTTGTTTAGGGTTTAAGATTTAAGGTTTAGGGTTTAGGGTTTAGGGTTTAGGGTTTAGGGTTTAAGGTCTAGGGTCTAGGGTTTAGGGCTTAAGGTTTCGGGTTTAAGGTTTAGGGCTTAGGGTTTAGGATAGTCTTCGTACCATCGCAGTAGGGTTTGCAGCAGGGAATTGGCAGGAAGGCGATGGACCGACTGTAGATACTGCTAGAACAGGGCTTGGGTGGTATCAACCCCCCCTCCCCCCCTCCAAAAAAAAGAACCCTAGAAACTAAACACTAAACCCTAAACTCCAAACCCTAAACAGACACTGGGCCTGAGCTAAAGCGCCTCCACTATAGAGATGGCGTCGGAAGCTCCTAGACCCCGCAACTACACACACACAGAGACTAATACGCAAATAGACACTTATCAGGGATCACCAGTCCTTCAGAGGTAGGAGTTTAGGGTTTGGGATCTTGGGGTTTAGGGTTTAGGGTTTTGGGGTTTAGGGTTTAGGGTTTTGGGGTTTAGGGTTCAGGGTACCTTGAGGGCCTTGGGAGTTCCCCCTGGGGCGGTTGGATTTTGAGGGAGCTGGGACTCGTCTTACTGACATGGTCTGAGGTTCAAGGCGGAGAGGCGGAGACACCCAAGTTCGAAATCGATGCTTAGTTCCGGAGTTCATAAGCCAAAAAAAGTGTACACTTTCAGTTTTATGAGGAGTTATATTGTCCTCATTAGTTTAATGTATATTCCTTCAGCTACTATATAAGTATGTAATACGGCCCTTGAGGACGGGACATTGCAACTGCGATTCCTAGCCAAGCTTTAACAACTGCGATTCCCAGACGGGTGTCTACATCAAGTCTGCTACGACGTCCTACAGCTCACGGTTCGCTGGGAGGCACCGGTCGCGAGAGTACGTGGATCAGGTACCCGCACCCAGGGGCGACGGTGTGGGACAACTCCGATGTGCCGTCCCTGAAGCCTGCACCCAACAGTCGCAACCCAAACCCTGTATACCCAAAGCTACGGGACGACAAATACCACAACATGCCACTATCCAAGCCAGCCCCCCTGGTACCTTGCCAACATGGCCTTTATGGCTTTATGTGTGCAGGCTCCCCCCGGGTACTGCGAACCTCAACCCTTGCCATCAAATTGGGAGCCTCGCAGTGATGGGTTGAACTCGTTTAGGGGCTTGGGGCTTATAGGGTTTCGTGGCTTGGGGGTTTAGGGTTTAGGGGCTTGGGGGTTAAGGGTTTGGGGCTTGGAATTTTAAGGTTTAGGGGCTTAGGGGTTTCCGCGACAAGCCCTTGAAAATCGCTCTGACACTCCAATTTTTCTCGGGCGCATTTGCCGGCAAAGTTGAGCGTGGCTGAATGCTGCTGCTTAGGCGGCTAAGGCTTAGACAGGGTCGCGGGAAAGCCAACCTTGCAGAGACAGTGGCCATCAGCAAACGGGCATGCGACCTCATTCGAGATGCTGACCAAGAACACGCATAGCCTGCTGCACTCTTAGCAGCACAAGTTCATCTGATTCGAGGAGCTCTAGCAGCTCAGCATTGTCCAGCTCAAGCAGCATTCCTGTGACTTTGCCTGCCACAGACGGACGTATCCGATAGTTGCAAGCTTTGAAAACCTTGGGATACAGACGCTCTTCGATCATCTGCTTCTTGACGGGTCCGGACGGGATTGAATCCAATTCCCTGGCAAACAGCTCTCGGCATAGGTCTCGAGCGTCAGGTAGGCGGACAAGGGTCAGGTGAGCATTTCCGGCTGGAGATATATGCTTTCCGATAGCTTCTGAACCGGGCAAGACCTGATCATTGCTCGCCAACGCATGGTCCTCGTGAGGGATTCCTAGCTCAGTCGCCAGAATTGCTTTGGTTTCTGCGACAGTCGTCCATGGCTTCACCGAGATGGAGCATTCGCGTCCAGTGAGCAAGGCCACGCGGACGACAAGTTGGCCGTACATGCCACACTGATAGACCCTGGTCAGATCCGACGTCAGAAGCGACTCGCTTGAAGCCTGAAAGGCTTTCTCAACTTCCTGGAGGATGGGCTGCTCAAGGCCCGCCGAAGCCAGGTGCTCCAGCAGCATATTGTTCAAAGCAGTCGGCACCTGTTGATCAGCCATGGCGACGATAAGCCAGGTGCTCTAACCAAGTAATCTGTGAGCCACAGTTGGCACACTCTCACGAGAAACTCCAACTCTAGCTCCGGGATGGAGTCGCCCGGAAGTGCTCGAATCCTCGAGGCCCAAGCCGTATACCAAAACCCGAGGAAAGATGGACATCCGCCATCTCGTGACAATCCCACGAATCAACCTGATCATACCCCTGCAGAGACCGGAACCACCTGGTCGTCGCAGAGCCCCCCCCCCCCCCCCC